TGCTTCAAGAAGCTGACATAGGAATTGGGATCAGTGGTGTTGAAGGAATGCAGGTATATACACAGCATGCCTTGGGAATTGTCTGATTTGTTTTTTTGTTTTAGTGTTCCCGCTTGTAACACTCATTTAGTCTTTTCTTGCACGATGCCTTATACCCTTTCTTTCATGCCAGGCTGTAATGTCCAGTGATATTGCTATTGCTCAATTTCGGTTTTTGGAGCGTTTGTTGCTTGTCCATGGTCATTGGTGTTACAGAAGAATAACCTCAATGGTATTGTCTACTAGAAACTATAGTTCCATTCAGTTTATTTTAATTTCCACCATCATTTTGGTATTTTCAAGTGATAATTTGTTGACACATTTTTTTTCTCTCGGCAGATCTGTTATTTCTTCTACAAGAACGTAACTTTTGGAGTCACAGTTTTCTTGTTTGAGGCATATGCATCATTCTCTGGCCAACCAGCATACAATGACTGGTTTTTGTCAACATTCAATGTATTCTTCACATCGCTTCCTGCAATTGCTTTGGGAGTCTTTGACCAAGATGTTTCTGCACGTTTCTGTCTCAAGGTAGATTCATTGTTCTAATCTTACCATTAATTTAAAGATTTAACCATTACAATTAGTTTTTGAAAAACCTTGTCCAAAAATAGGCTGAATATTAAGTATTAGATTATACTACTATGGTGACAAAATTTTAAGTAGTGCTTTTTTTTTTTTTTTTTTCTTTTTTCAATGCAAATCTTTAACAGCGAACCTGAACTAAATCTTACTTATTAGTACTTTGCATTATTTAAGGATAGAGGGATAACTAAATAAAATCATGAATGCTCAATTCATCTCACACTTTTCTCTATAATGTTCCTGTGGCAGTTCTCTTTACTATATCAAGAAGGTGTTCAAAATGTCCTCTTCAGTTGGTTGCGTATACTCAGCTGGATGGTTAATGGAATGATCAGTGGTATAATCATCTTCTTCTTCTGCAAGGAAGCCATGTACAATCAGGCTTACAGTAACGACGGGAGGCCTGTAGACTTTCAAATCTTTGGAGCAACTATGTACACATGTGCTGTCTGGGTGGTCAACTGTCAAATGGCGCTTTTCATTTGCTACTTTACACTAATACAACATATTGTCATCTGGGGTTCAATTGCTCTTTGGTATATCTTCCTCTTGATTTATGGCTCAATGAATCCCAACTTTTCAACTACAGGATATCAGGTTTTCGTCGAGTCACTTGCTCCAGCACCCAAATTTTGGCTCCTGACATTTTTTGTGGTGATCTCAGCTTTACTCCCCTATTTTACTTACTCCGCTATACAGATGAGGTTTGTGCCTATGTACCATCAAATGATCCAATGGCTAAGGCTCGAGGGTCAAACCGAAGACCCCGAGTACTGCCATATGGTCAGGCAAAGATCAATACGACCTCAAACTGTGGGCTACACTGCTCGTGCAGCAGCTAGAAAGAAGGATAGACGGAAAAGTAAAAGCTGATGACATTTGTATAGGATCGTTAGAAAAAAAAGTCACTGAGAGAATTCCTCGGAACTTAGAGGGGACTAAGGTCAATTTTTCGGCCTGAATTTTGTCTTCGTTGTCACTTTGAAGATGATTTGTACAGAAAAAGTATACTCAAGCTGTATCATATGTGTCAGATAGGACAGAATTAAGAGGCTAGAATATGTACATTCTCGCGTTATCTTTCCATCAGCAACTGCTAATATTCTTTGGTTATAGCTCATACTTGTGTAGAACTTTGTACAGAAATCCAGTGTTCTTATATATAGAGAAAAAAGATATTGTTTTAATCTACTGCATATTTATAAAGGCTTCTTGTCATAGATAACTGTTTAGCAACTTACAATATTATTAGAAAGTCCATCAAAAGTTTCGATTTAGCTTAGCATCATCATAGCTCATTGATGTGCAATAGTCCCTGTGGGATCGATTTGTACTAGTCAAAAACTCGTAAAGACTTGATATGTACTACATTATACGTTGTGCACATATAGTTACTTCTAAGCTCTAAATTACTGAGTATTTGATATTGCAACATAATTCAGATAAGGACACAACATAATTCAGATAAGTTTCATAAGTCTCCAAATATATTTACCTAAAATTTATAGAGGAATAAATTATGGTACCAAACAATTAGATACCCTTTGCCAAGTCTCCTAAACTATACAAGCACATGACAACAATGGAGATAGATACCATAAACATCATCCATCAATGTGGAAAAGGCATTCATTTTGTTTGGGGGCCTTGAATGGGCCATAATGATTTTAAAAATTTTAATGTAGGAATAACGACATAGTAAGAGATATTCCTGATTCTGAAGTTCTGAACCATGGGTTGGTTGGAGTCCTATGGAACACATGATGGAAAACTCGAGAGGGTATAAATTAAGTGTGCGTTCTATTCATTGATTTTCACAAATTTAAATTCATTTGAAATTGATTTAGTTGTTAATCTAACTTGGTTAACCATTATCACATTCGATCTGAACTTAGTTTTAATTAACATTTTATCCGAAAATGAAAATAAGATGAACATATTAGGGCTCATCACTGATCGAAATCATTGACACCCAGAAATGAAAATTTCGGCATGATTAAATCAAAGAAGAAAAAAAAAAATCAAGTGGGTTATTATAATCTTTTTTTAGGTACACTATGAAAACAGAAATAAATTCAATTGACTAAAAATCGTTCTACATGTTAGGGATCATGGTTATCGATCATTACAGAGATGAAAGACTAATAATAATGGTATGAAACCATACAATGATTCCAAGAAAGGGAAAGATGATCAAAAGATTAGTAATATTGGTCCGAAACCATACAATAATTCCTAGAAATGGAATTAGGGAAAGAGGATGATCAAAAGACTAGTAATATTGGTCCAAAACCATACAATAATTCTGAGAAATGGAATTAGGGAAAGAGGATGATCAAAAGACTAGTAATATTGGTCCGAAACCATACAATAATTCCTAGAAATGGAATTAGGGAAAGAGGATGATCAAAAGACTAGTAATATTGGTCCGAAACCATACAATAATTCCGATAAATGGAATGAGGGAAAGATAAAATATTCAAGGACAACCTGGCGTTTGCTTTAACCTAGATGAATGGTTTGGTTAAAAATGCGAACCCTTGGGAGCACCAACCCTACCGAGGTTTCTAGCAACCCCCCGGGGAGGGTGTGCCATGACGAAACAAGGGAATGGCCCTCTGGATAAACTACAAGATTCACAAACATAAAACAATCATTGAGTTTAGTTACATATTTACAAGAAACCTGCACTCACCAAATTTGCAAAAAGCAGAATTCCTCAATCAAATCGTTAAATAAAAAAAAAGAAAAAATGTAAACATTTAAACAAGTAAATCCCAACAATTTTGATAAAACCATTCCAATAATTAACAAAAATCCAACAATATAAACATGATTTATACACTTATATCATTGAAAATCACAAAATCATAGTAAATTTGATTGTAACATCTAAGAAACAGGACAAGTAATATTAAGGCCAAACAAATCAGCAGCAGATCGACCCATAATATTAGCAAACTCATTAAAACTAATAACACCATCTCCATTTGTATCAGCTTCCCTCATCATTTCAGCCAATTCTTTGTACGTCAAAGGATGATCCATCTTAGCCATTGATCCTGCTAGCTCGGCTGCCGTGATGTACCCGTTCCCATCGCGGTCAAACAGCCGAAAAACATCTAATAACTGTTCTTGGTTGATCATTATATCATGGTTGTGCTAGCTCGTCGAATTCAATGTAACCATTACCATTCGAGTCCATAGATGTTAACAACGCGTATATTTGATCACCCGTGTGTTTCACCCCTAAGGAACGTAACAACGCAGCTAGTTTTAGCTGCGTTATGCTCCCATCCGAGTCCATGTCGAATCGTTCAAATATGTGTTTTAGTTGTTTTATTTGTTCGGGGTTGAAGGTATCCATTTTTTCCGAGTTATTTTTGTGGGATTTAACACGGGTTGGATTTCAGGGCGACGTTTAACAATTTCTCTTTTATTTGTTCAAATTGTTATGGCTCAATTTGACGCCATAACAATTTGGTTTTTGGTTGTATAATTATGATTGAAGAAGTTTTGGATATGAAATTAAAGGGTGTAAGAGGGGTTGAATTGAATTGGGGTTGAAATGGTCTAAATTGGTTGGGGGGGTTTAATTGTTTGAATGATCAAAAGGGAAGCAAGTGGGGGAAATGTGGTGCATGTATAAGGTTATGGTCTTTCATGAGGATGTGGGTCAAATAATTGATTGTGATTTTGGAATTGTAAATTTAGGGAATTATGAAATCGTTTTTTTAAATTGAAATTGTTGTCATTCATTTGCCATATTTCTAGGAGTTTTATTACCAAGTTTTTGCTGTAATTTGATGAAAGTTTGGATGTTTTTATTTTTTGATTAGTGAATTTGGATATTGTATATTTGGAGAAGAGGTTTGAATGGTAATTATACTTCACATAATCATGTATTTTAATTGTGAAATTGTCATTGTAAGTTTGTAACAAAGTAATATCACTTTTCTGTTTTCACTTAAGACTTCTCCATGCTAGGCAATTGATTACCACTTTACAAAATGATTTTTTATTTTTTTATTTTTTTATTATATGTGTTTGGGCCTGGCTTGGCCCAATTACTTATAAAATGACGAATATATCTATTACCTTTCATAAACCAACCCATAACGATGTTATTAGGAATCTACCCAAAATCAGCTCATGATGTATAATTCTTCCATTATAATACTTCTATTACTATATAACGTAGTTTATTTATTTATTTATTTATTATTAATATGATATTTTTTCGTTATAAAATCAATAAGTACTTAGTAAATGTAGATCTCATTATTACCCCAATGTCCTAATGAGTGAATCAATCAGCATAGAGCGTGCTCAATCTTACTAGTACCTCATCCTTGTTCCTTTCATTAAATCAAAAGGGACTTTTTCAACAATTCTCGTCCCTAATAGTCCTCTCCTTTTTTTTTTTTATTTCCAATCCATCCAAAGTCCAAACAAACAAAGAAATCTATGCTATCCCACCTTCAATTCCAAGTACTAAACACCTCTTAATATAATTAAGAAAACACAGCTTTATCCACTAAATCCTACCTTTTATATTACAAAATACACTATATAAGAATCTAAAACTTGTTATCACTATATATTTACATACTTGTTATAACTAAAATATTCATAAAACTTTAAATGATTAGAAGTCCAAACCTAATGTATCAATAATTGATTCATGACTAAGTCATTCATTACTAGCGACTTTTGAGATGATATAATTAATAATCATAACAATAACAATTATAGGTTGCTAATCAAAAGATTCAATTACTTCAATCAAATGAAACTTCACAACGTGACTACCAAAATCTAATTCTTCTTCTTTTGTCAAACTCCTACTACATTTACAATAACAATTATTTTTTCTTGTTTGAATTTCAGAATTTCTTCCCCAAAAACTACCAAATCCAAATTCTCCCTTTAAAGCCAACTCCCCTAACACCTTATCAACTTCTTCATTACAACTCCCCCAATTATGCAACTCATTCATTGCCATACTTTCTAATTCAAGAATTCTCAAAGACATTGACTTTCCTCTTTTATCATCATCATCTAACCCAACAAACTCGTCCCCATATACCGCCTTTTGTTTATCCTCTACCATTTCTAGATGATCACCATGTTTCTTCTTTCTCCTCTTCCTTAGCTTCCTTTTTGCATACTCTTTTGTCTTACGAGCCACACGACGAGGGAGTTGTATAAAGATGAAGATAACGAGTTGTAGAAGCAAGCATTGACAACAACATGATATGATGATACAATCAGAGATAACCGTGTTACAATCCTCCATGGAGTCGTGCTATAGCTAGCTATCTATCGAGGGATCGAGAAAGGAGATGTTGTGATCATGAATGAAAAAGGGATTATTATAAAAGAAGAGAACAAGAAGTTGTTGCTTGTAGAGTTGTATGTTCCTTTCTCATGTAAGGAGAGCATTGTGAACAAGGGTGAAGCAAGCAAAGGAGAATACAAATTTCTCTTTAATAAAGTTTTTTTTGAAAAAAAAAAGGATAACTTTGAAGTTTGTATTTCATAGACAAAAGAATCGAGTTTGGAGACAAAAAACTTGGCAAATGGGAAATTATTATAATGAGGTTGGCAAATCACAAAAAAACAAGAAGAATCAAAAGGATATGTCAATTTAATGTTTCTTCATGTCTACTTAAGGAGGTCCACTTCCAGGTATCTTTCTTTATCAGTAGCCTACATGTGACAATGGCTTGTCTTCCAGGTATAACCAACTTCTCTAATCATCAATCTTTAATACTCCTCATATATCCTCCCTTTAAGAAAAATAAATAAATTATGCGTAAATATACTCGAGGAAGGAAGGATATTAATCTGCGATTATTGGTAGGAAAATTTGTCAGGAAGTACCTAGCATATTGGGTTTACAAGTATTAGTTTTTGTAACGGATTTATGTTAGACAAATTGAAAAACAACCTCCTACCTTATAAGACATTTTCCTTAGTCTTAGTTCTCCTAGCATAAAATATATATATAGAAGTAAAAAATAAAAAATAAAAAAAAACTTATTTTGACCCATATATTCTCAACGTCCATTACTATAAGATGTTGTTGGTCGATTCTCTTGATGGATCATGGATGGTATAAGCCATACACTGCTCAATTGAGGTTCAAAATATGTCATGTATTAGAGTCAAAGGCGATTGGAGCTGATCTGAACTTGGGTTAACCCATAAGTTTACCTCTCCTCGGTTTTAATGTTTTGAACAACCCCGAATTCGAGTATTAATTGTAAAACCTAAGCTCAATCATAAATTTTTGCTCTTTTAAGTAACCTTCATATGCTGCGATCTTCATGTTACAGCATCAAATCTTTTGCTTAGCTTATACAGGATTGCAAGCCATTGATTTCTGATACTTGTACAAGCACATGACAAAATCTTGCTACATATCTTTATTTTCTTATCCTCTAATCTAATTTATAGAAAAATGGAATGAAGTTAGCCAAATCACTGAAGTACTGAACTTGATACATGTGCTATATATATAATCAAGGTGGCTTGACCTTGCGCACCAATTTATTGCATCCTTAAGCAAGAGGTACAATTACTGAAAACACTAGATCAAACAAGAGACTTCAGAAATGGAAACAACATACTCTCTCTATTCTGAAATAATAGTTACATAACTTACATTGTCCCAACACCTTATATACACAAAAAACCCCTTCTCGTACTTCCCTATAACGCAATCTTAGTAAGAAGGTATAATGGTAAAATCAATCACAAAATTGATAGTGTGAGCTTATTCCGAAAATCCTAAAATAGCCTACTTCTTATGTGCATGACACTATTATTTCTAGATAAAGGGAGTTGTGACCAAACAGGGAGTAGGATGAATAAAAGAGCGCCTTCATCCAAAGTGTAAAAAAATTTGCTAAACAAAATCTTTGTACCTGTAATACTTACAATGATAAAGAATGATGGAGAAAATGCAAAATTTCTGTGCAAAAAAATGCAGCAAAGAGCATAGCTACATGTTCCATAGCGGAGCCTAGCCTTCCAACAATCATATTGAATTTCAACCGCCTTGAGATGAATTCACCCCTTATAAGCTTGTCATCCGGTTCACGCTATCTTCCCTATAAAAATTCGGATTCCTATTACCCTGATTGTGTTGGCTTGAATGACGCTCAGACGAAAAGTAACCATAATTTCCGCTTGGGTTTCTATTACCCTGATTGTGTTGGCTTGAATAACGATCTGCCAAAAGGTCGAGATTATTTCCACTGGAATTCCTATTGCCCTGATTGATTTGGCTTGAATGACCCTCGGCAGAAAAGTTGCCATTATTCCCACTCGGATTTCTATTATGCTGATTGTGTTGGCTTGAATGATGCTCCGCCGAAAAGTCAACATTATTTCCACTTTGGTTAGGAAAGCCCACATTCTGAGAATTTCGATTATGCTCGTGCTGAGTTGAACGATCAACATTCTGCCTGCTCTGGCCTGAGTACCCAAAATTCTGGCTGGGATTACTGAAAAAATCACTACTATCTTGACTACCACCACCAAATGCCATTCTCCGAAACCATCTAATTTCAGCAGATTGTTGAGCAGAATCATAGAGCTGACTTTCACCCACCCTCAGCCCATTCGACAGATCTCCAGAGTCGGACATGCTAAGAGCTCTGAGAACCTGTAGAACAAGAGGCTGAACATCAGTATTACTTCTACTCCCTCCATACTACAGTAAAAAAATAATTTAACGTCAATTACCAGTCCCATTCTCGGTCTCTTGACAGATGAATGCCTCACACAAGCTGCAGCCGCCTCGATCATTCGAAGCATCTCACTCTCAATATAATTCTTTTCAAGACGTTGATCTACCAAACCTTCAAGTTCTCCCGTCTCAAGTGCATGAACAAGCAAAGGCCGTGCCTAAAATAGCAAAAGTATTTGACTTATAATGACTAAAAAATACTATTGGAATAATTTTTCAAATAAAATAACCACACCATTCAAATTGGGGAAGAACTACATCATATGAAGCATGAAAGCAGGCCAAATCACTACTATCAGAACATTTGACGACTTCTGATCACATTTCACATACCCAGAAGATAACAAATGTAGCAGATAGGAGGATGGTCTTACCACAAGGTTCATATTCCGCCCTTTTAACTTGCATCTACAAGAATAAGTTGTTTTCTCTAATTAGTGCACCTTCCACCCCCTTCCAAAAATCATTTCCTACTTGCTCACACTCCATGTAAAACTAACTCTGTTTTATTTAGTTGTTCCATTAGGTTTTGATGCCAGATTTAAGGGAGGTGGGGAAAAGGATGATTTATTACAATTTAGCCCATGTGATAAGCAAAATTGAGATTTATTTTATTATTTTTTTTTAAAAAAAAAGGGGAAATTTTGGAGGCAAAATAATAAGAGGGGGAAAGGAACAAAGAGGGTATGTTATACCAAATAGACAAATAGAACTATTTCACAACATCCCAAATAGGAAACAGCGGGACAACTAAAAAGACTAGTAATTTGCCTTTTCCATCCATTTCAACTAGGCTAAAATATATGATGGCGTCTTTTATACGTAATACTTCTTCCTTACTACCTTCTCTTCTTTGAAAAGGCTTATAAGACTTTTAGATGCCAACACTATCTCGAATAGTTAGGAACAAGACAGCATATACACCACAACCTTCACTAAAGCTGGGGTCATATTAGGTGGTGGTTGTTTCAATTTTTCTTCCATCCATGCAGACCCTCTTAATTTATGTATTTTTTGCAAAAGTAAATTCAGTTGTATTCGGTCATGTATATTTCACAGTTTCACACTATATAAGCATAGAAAGATCATCTTCCTTATTATGTAAAGCATACAAAGATTATTGCACTCACTAATATTATAAGCTGAGTATTTGTAAGAATTGTAACTATTACTTATAATGAAATTAACTTTATTGGTTGCATATGTAAAGTTCCTTTATCATTGTTTGGATGCAGATGCAAGTAAACCCCCCCCCCCCCCTCTTCCTTTCTCCCTCCTAAAGGGTCAAGCCAAATCTAGCATCCCAGCCTCAGGATATTGGTGTTCAAGCTTATGATACAATGAAATGAAACGATGCCCCATTGCTTAGAGACTACACAATGAAAGTTTTTATTTTTATTTTATTTATTTTTTTATTTTTTTAATTCAAGCAATAAGCCAATGTTAATTTAGAGTGAGGGAAATGATAAAGGAATTATAAAAAAGAAACAAACAAGAGCAAAACAAAGAAATCAATCCAAGGGCCTCTTGTTAAAGCAAAGCAGTCCCCCACAAGCTTTAGTAAAGCATACAAATTTTGACTAATGGCAAGATGCATACCCATTCAACTAGACTTTCATCTCCCAAAGGTTGCGTCTCATCCACAGGCTTGCGACCAGTTATAAGCTCTAGAAGTACGACCCCAAAAGAGTACACATCTGATTTCTCAGTCAACTTACCAGATGTAGCATATTCAGGAGCCATGTATCTGAAATCAGACAGCACCAGGTATGTTAACAAAACAGCATGGTATCACCTAATTAGATATTCACTTGGTAGATATACCTCTAAAGGCAACCGTTCTAACTAATACCTACCCAAATGTTCCCATTACGCGAGTGCTAACATGTGTCTCTGCATCCATTGCCAATTTTGCAAGTCCAAAATCTGCAACCTGGAAAAAAACCAGACCACTAAACCCAAAAGGTATATAAAAGGAAATAAATTGAGGAATAAAAGCCTTGTGGGCAAACTGCATACCCGAGATTCATAGTTGTTATCTAAAAGAATATTTGTCGATTTAATATCTCTATGAATTATTCGTGGATGACCTGGCACGAAAAAAAAAAAACAGTAAGGTAAAGAGAAAGAAGTGTATAAACAGACAAATTTAGGACAAGGGCATTACAGGAAGCCATCAGTGATTGTCTAAAACAAGTAGTAGTAAAGGCCCATGCCATGTATCAGTCTTCAAATATATAATCCTAATAACAAGTTTACAATGGAGAAAGGATAGATAATGGTCAACACATGTCTAATAGTGTATCTCTATGAGACTATGACTATGCTTCCATTTAACTATGGAGCAAAATTAAAGGACTCTTTAAGTTTAGGGTCATCACACTAATATAATGTTATGGCAAGTCACAGTGAAGCAAATTGTCCCTTTTTATATCGTACGGTTCCTTATGACAATTCATGTTAGCCGACCCTAAATCATTTTGGGACTAAGGCTTTGTTGTTGTAGTTGAACAGTGAAGCAAATTGGTTTTCAGAAAGATATACGATCATGTGATTAAAATATATGGTGACAATGCAGGTATATACAACCTAATGGATAAATGTGATCTAACATGACATTGCAGTAATGTTTAAAAAGGAAAAAAAAAAAAAAAAAAAAAAAGAGCACCATCCAGCCATCCAGGGCACACTCCTAACTCTGACTAGCAGTAAGTTTAGTGAAAGCAAAGCATGTTAGCAGTTGTCACCAGCAGACACTAAAGATAAGGTATAGGCCTACTGCTAAGGTTGAGACCTGACCGCCTGCTGGTGAGATATATATAAGGTGATTAGGGATGAAGCAACGTTGGAACTTTTGTGTAATGTCCTGTGTGCTAAATTTTAGAATCCTACAGCTACACATTCTCCTCTTTTATATTTTTTCAAATAAGAGTGGGTATGGGTATACGACTAGTCATGCCTCAGAGTTCAAGACATGAGGGAGCTCCAATATCGCCCTAAATCTGCACACGGCTTTGATATTTAAAGGCATTTTAGCCAGAATAAATTATATATGAGCTGCTGAGAAGAGAAAAGGAGAAATCTAGTGTCCAAACTTTGGAGTGAGTCTTAACTCTTAATATTAGATCTACTGCATATATGCTCTGGGCATATTTTGCATATCTCATACCCAGGGTTATGATTCCCTCTTCTTTTGCAGAAAGTTGCAGCACTTGAGAAACACAAATGCATTCTCAGTTCACCAGTAAAAGTTTTTTGCAGATAATTTTGAGACATATAGTAACTTAAGTAAGAATTTGTGGTAGAATTTTAAACCAAAGAGTAACACTCACAATCTTCATGAAGATATGTGATACCGCGAGCAGCGCCCATGGAAATTTTAATACGTGTTGCCCAGTCCAAAACTGGCCTTTCTTCTCCTGCCAAGATAAGGGCATTCATTAGAAAATCTACAAGAGCTATAACAAGGTGCAAAAAACAAAGCAGAGCTATAAGGAGCAAACCTTTACAATGAAGATGATAATGGAGTGTATTGTTAGGTACATATTCATAAACAAGCAGCCTTTTATTCTCTAAAATGCAGTACCCAACAAGAGAAACCAAATGTCTATGATGTATGCGACTAATTATTTCCACTTCTGCTTTAAATTCACGCTCCCCCTGTCCACCACCAACTTTAAGCTGCTTAACAGCTATCACTCTGCCATCTGATAGAAGTCCTTTATATACACGACCAAACCCACCTTCACCTAGGACTT